TTTCCAGAACTCCATTCCCGGGCCACATTTTGAATGCTCGGAACCCACTGTAGGCCACTTCGTGGTTTTCGAGTTCCCAGAACTCCAGTCCTGGGCATGATTTTGAATGCCCGGAGCCAACTGTAGGCCACTTCGTGTTCTTCGAGTTCCCAGAATTTCATTCCTGGGTCACATTTTGAATGCTGAGGCAGGCTGAGGCTGAGGCTGAGGCAGGCTGAAGCTGAGGCAGGCTGAGGCTGAGGCCGAGGCTGAAGGCAGACTGAGGCTGAGGCTGAAGCAGGCTGAGGCTGAGGCTGAGGCAGGCTGAGGCTGAGGCTGAGGCAGGCTGATGCTGCAGGCTGAGGCTAAGGCTGATGCAGGCTGAGGCTGAGGCACGCTGAGGATGAGGCCGAGGCTGAAGGCAGACTGAGGCTGAGGCTGAAGCAGGCTGAGGCTGAGGCTGAGGCTGAGGCAGGCTGAGGCTGAGGCTGAGGCAGGCTGATGCTGAGGCAGGCTGAGGCTGAGGCTGAGGCTGATACAGGCTGAGGCTGAGGCAGGCTGAGGCTGAGGCCGAGGCTGAAGGCAGACTGAGGCTGAGGCTGAAGCAGGCTGAGGCTGAGGCTGAGGCAGGCTGAGGCTGAGGCTGAGGCAGGCTGATGCTGAGGCAGGCTGAGGCTGAGGCTGAGGCTGATGCAGGCTGAGGCTGAGGCAGGCTGAGGCTGAGGCCGAGGCTGAAGGCAGACTGAGGCTGAGGCTGAAGCAGGCTGAGGCTGAGGCAGAGGCAGGCTGAGGCTGAGGCTGAGGCAGGCTGAGCTGAGGCAGGCTGAGGCTGAGGCTGAGGCTGATGCAGGCTGAGGCTGAGGCAGGCTGAGGCTGAGGCCGAGGCTGAAGGCAGACTGAGGCTGAGGCAGACTGAGGCTGAGGCTGAAGCAGGCTGAGGCTGAGGCTGAGGCAGGCTGAGGCTGAGGCTGAGGCAGGCTGATGCTGAGGCAGACTGAGGCTGAGGCTAAGGCTGAGGCAGGCTGAGGCTGAGGCCGAGGCTGAAGGCAGACTGAGGCTGAGGCTGAAGCAGGCTGAGGCTGAGGCTGAGGCGGGCTGAGGCTGAGGCTGAGGCATGCTGATGCTGAGGCAGGCTGAGGCTGAGGCTGAGGCTGAGCAGGCTGAGGCTGAGGCAGGCTGAGGCTGAGAGGCTGAAGGCTGAGGCTGAGGCTGAAGCAGGCTGAGGCTGAGGCTGAGGCAGGCTGAGGCTGAGGCTGAGGCAGGCTGAGCTGAGGCAGGCTGAGGCTGAGGCTGAGGCTGATGCAGGCTGAGGCTGAGGCAGGCTGAGGCTGAGGCCGAGGCTGAAGGCAGACTGATGGCTGAGGCTGAAGCAGGCTGAGGCTGAGGCTGAGGCAGGCTGAGGCTGAGGCAGGCTGAGGCTGAGTCTGAGGCAGGCTGAGGCTGAGGCTGTGACTGCGACTGCCGTTGCCACTGCGACTGCCATCGCGAATGCGACTACGACTGCGAGAACAGCAGAATTCTACAACAGGATTCGCATCTGATTCTTAAGCTGAATGCTTCCAGATCTGCTCCTACACATCGCTGTTAGGTTGCTTTGCCGGGATACTTGTTTTTGCTTCCTGTTCCAGGATGGGTCAGTCATTCATTTCGGGATTAAAGTATTGAACAACCACGGGGTCGCCGCTGACAAATTCCCTTCGGATTCGTTAGTGTTCCGCGCTGTTCTTCATCGTGGACTTCATTCGGTCTGTTTGCTCTCCGTGTCCCCGTCGTCGTCCTCCGCCCGTCCGTAGCCATGCGGCTCGAGCGGGGCCCTTGCTGGGGCCCTCGTCGCGCTGCTGCGCGCCGTCACGGGCGCACCCGCCTCTTCTTTTCGTCGTTGGCCGCCCGCGCTGATCATGGTTGGTGCGGCTGACAAGGAGGAGTGTGTGGCGCTGTGGAAGAAGGCTCAAGTAGCCCCGTCTGTGGTCGGATTCAACGTCAGCGATGCGCTTGCCGAGACGCTGCGCGTGACGCTGGACGACCGCACCGTGCCGGTGATGCGACAGCCAGAACCCCCTGCTGTCCTGGAAGTCCAGAATGCCGAGGGCATGCGTCCGATACTCCACAGTAGGCCAAGTGCCTCTTCGGAGATGCCGCGGCCGCCTGCTTCAGTGCGCCCGAACCTCGGGTCGGCAAACTCGCGGCGATGATGAGAGCGATTGTAAAAGGATGCTGACTCTGGGCAGGAAACACTTATGATTCATTCCATGTCGACGATGGCGACTTCTAGGCCCACGGGTTTGCGAGCGGCCAGGCACGAAGATGACGGGCGCTGGAAGCTGCCCGCCAGAGTCCGACATCGGGCTCGACGCGCAACGATTGCGCGCGGGGCGCGATAGGGCAACTCATCGCTAGCGAGCGGGAAAAATACATGGTACCCAAAAGTTATGGTCGCCGTGGTCAGATGGCGATGTCTTGAGCGCTTGGCGGCGCGCGCATCAGAATGGCGGAAGTTCTCGCGCCCCGATCTGACGGGCGGTTGTTTTCCCCGACCAAACTCTTGCCTTCCAGGGTGATGTTGCGCCGCCGCGGACATGGGCAGGAGAGAAGAAGGGAGCTAAGTGGCATCAGCACCAGATGAACCAGTCAAGGGCGCTTGAAAGAGCTATGTACGGGGCGACCCGTCTCGCAGCGTTGACACCGCAGCGCCGCGGGGTTTTAAGATGGCGCCTGCGACATCGCGACGCATCGTTTGCAACCTGGCGATATCCGCATAAAGTCTTATGTATGGAGTCGAGCGCTGGGCGCGGGTTGTTTGGTGACCTGGCAGACCGCCATCGCGCATGGGCGCCGGGGAAAATCGAGAACACGCTTGTTGTTTTGCTTGGAGCAACGGAAATGCGAGGGAGCGTCAGATTTCAGAGAACACAGAGGCGCAAGGAATTGTATCTCTTATGACTAGCAGTCGGTGATGCGCCGCCTCCCTGACGACCAAATCTTTTCCGTCCAGCGCCTCGGCAGGTAGCGGGGCATGTTCGGTGGCGCGGTCGCGTTGGTGCCAGGTGCTGGCTCGTGGTGGTCAGTCTGAAATTTTGTCAACATCGCGCGAGCTGGCGTTTGCGCAGCCGCAGAGATGAGCGCGTCGCGCGCGGCTTGGGCCGCGCTTAGTTTCGTCGCTGTAGAGCCAGCGGCGCTGATGCTGCAGAAGATCGAGGACAATGCGGTGGCGGTCATGAACAGGAACCAGGTAACCCTGCGCCAATTGACGTTGCGTCTGGGCGCGACCCCTCGCCTTCTCTCCACGGTGGCGACAGGGAACCGCATATTGGTCCAGAGTTACCTGGCGTTGACGGAGCGGTTCTGCCGCGGGCGCTGCGACGGGGCGCTTGCTCGGGCGGGGGGGGGCGGAGCGCCCCGCGCCGGCTCGCCATGCCACCGCGCGGGAAAGGATGGCAGCTCGCCCCGCCGCAGCGCCGCCGCCTCCTGCGCGCGACCTCGCGCGCGCGCGGAAGGTGCGCCCGCTTCTTCCGGCAACCGCGGCGCCGCGCGCTGAAGCAGCGGCCGAGGCCGCTGCCGCACTAAGGCAAATTAGCGCACCCGACGCGACAGGGCATCTGTTCACGGCGCCCAGATTTCCTGCCCAGGCACGTCCAATTGTGCGTTCGCAGCAGCTCTGGCTCAGGAGGCGCTAAGCAATGCGGCCAGGGCGTGGGCGGGCGCTGGCCAAACAGCTGGTCTTAGGTATATCCGCCAGATGGGCGTCGGCAGCGCGGGGGGCCTGCCGATGACATGGGCCGACTATTGGCTGCCAGCGTCAAGTAGCATGACGCGGGAAAAACCATCTCCCTTGACCCGACGCGAGGGCGGCTGGACTCCATGCCCACATCGCAGTGGCACTCCCCATGCGCGAGGGACGGTCAATACAGATGTTATTTTGCGCAGTCGGGCGGTATCTGTTTGGTTGTCGGAGAGTGGATGCCTCGCGAGTTCTAGTGCGGAAGCACAGTCGACTCTGCCGTTTCCTCGCCTGAGATCATCAGGGGGTGCAAGAATGTGTACTATTGGCGAGATGCCCAAAGATGTTGACGCGAGGTCAACAGCTCGGCGGTGATTGAAATCAAGATCGGCAGCGCTGCCGAAGGTGGATAGCATCAGCAGCAGAGTGTCGCGGTCGACGAGCCACCCTCGTCGCGTTTTGCGTCGTGGGCGTGCACGCAGCAAACAGCTTCAAGGACGAGAAGAACTTTGCTACCACAGGCTGGCCGTCAATGGACAAGTCTCGACTGCCTCTGCTGCGGCACGGCACGGAAGGTCAGTGTTTGGCGATTGTTCTCAGCATTGGAGTGACCCCTGGAAACCCCACGGAGAGGTGCCACATGGTCTTCTATGGGGGCAACTTACCGAGACATCTCCGCGGGGCTTTGCAAACTGGACACTGACGAGTGGGCCTGCGCAAATGCGCGCCGAGCGGCGAACATGCGTTGCGCACCCTAGTTCGCCCAGCAGGGGGTCGTGAGTCTCAAAACGGTGTCTCCCGAGCGCATGTCCACGTAAGCCGTTGCGGCGAGACCGTGCGTACAAATATGATCGCTACATACAGTGATGTTTTTGTCCGCCGTCTTGTTCCCATGTGCTCACATGGGGTCCTTGGCGAGTAAGCCATTGCCCAACAACGCTCAACGCCCCCTGTTTTAGTGGGGCGGTGCTGCTTCGTCCGGGGTGTCGGGGCCGCGGCGTGGTGGGGATAGTGGAGGATGAAACGGAGGGGGACGTGGAGGACATAAACGGGCGGAGGAAGGTTGGGGGGTGATGCGTTGTTTGAGCAAAAAGTGCACATCGGAAAAATGCGGTAGCGTCCGGCATCGGTCTACAGGTCGAGTTTTCAGGCATCGCCCAAACGAACCCGTTTCGCATTCCATCGGTTCTGTTTTTGGTGTTGTTTTGTTTTCCAGGATGGGTCAGTCACTCATTTCGGGATTACTCAAAGTACTGAACAGACACGGAGTCGCCGCTGGCAAATTCCCTTCGGATTCGTTAGTGTTCCGCGCAGTTCTTCATCGTGGATTTCATTCAGGCTGTTTGCTCTCCATGTCCCCGTCGCCGTCCTCCGCCCGTCCGCAGCCATGCGGCTCAAGCGGGGCCCCTACTGGGGCTCTCGTCGCGCTGCTTTGCGCCGTCACGAGCGCACCCGCCTCTGTCTTTCGTCGTTGGCCGCCCGCGCTGATCATGGTTGATGCCGCTGACAAGGAGGAGTGTGTGGAGCTGTGGAAGAAGGCTCAAGTAGCCCCGTCTGTGGTCGGATTCAACGTCAGCGATGCGCTTGCCGAGACGCTGCGCGTGACGCTGGACGACCGCACCGTGCCAGTGATGCGACAGCCAGAACCCCCACAGAGCTGGAAGTCCAGAATGCCGAGGGCATGCGTCCGATCCTCCAGCTAGCGATTCCTACAGGGTCCGCCATGAGGTTTTCGACAAAGGGTCGTGGTCCAGGGCCCGTTAGTTGATTATCATGGTTTCTAAGCGTTGGATGCTGTATTGTCCGCCTGGATGATATACAATCCTTGGTGGAGGGGCGGTGGCCACTTGGCGTCCCATGGCTCCTAGCTTTCTTCTGCAACTGTCAGGCTCCAGTCTCTTGTCGTTGCTAACCGGTCTTCTATGGAGTCGAATTGCAAGTTGAGGGTCACGGACTGTGGACAAGAACACGAATTACGCGCACAAGCATGTGCGCAAGTGGGAACAGCAATTCACGCGTGCGTACGTGTAGTTTCAGAGGTGTGCGTGTGTATAAGAACCCAGCAACGCGCAAATGTACACGAACAGTCAAGGTTTCCTTGGTTGTAGGACCCCAATGAGAGCCGATCGGGAGCGTAGTGTCTCCTCTGGAGTGCTCAGTCCTACGGGAGCCTTCGTCGCAAGGGCCGCCATGAAGGCGCGAAGCTATACGCGGTACGCGTCTCGCGATCCAGCATCCTCATCCTCTTCCCCAGGGTGGGGTGGGGCAGCGCGAGAGCACGAAGTTTCTCGCGCCTGGAGCAACGCAAAGCGCAAACACAATTGTCAACCCAACTCACGAACACTACGTGTGTGTGTGTGTGTGTGTCGCTCCCCAAGGGGCGATATGCGCGCCGAGAAATCCTATAGGATATGCTCCGTGGCGGGCGGTTTCTGGCCATACGCTCGGGAACGAATCTACTGCAAGATGATTCTACTATGTGTTCGAGTCGGACGCACGCCTCCAAGGAGGACGGATAGTACTAGCATATTCTTGTGCGTCCCATTTGCAGTCGTGATATGGGCAGTCGGCGGCTGCCGCTGGTATGTCTATGGCCCCGAGCTCCTGTGGACGTTTTGGGCTCTCGAGCGATAGACGTGAGGCTGTGGGAGGACGGCTGCGAGGCGGGGATTTACGCATGCAGTCAGCCCGCCTAACGAGGATGAACGACTTTCCGAGGTTACCCTTGCATTCTTCCCCTTCGCTTCGGCTCATCCTCGGCCGCTTTCGCTGGCCGCGCCCCGCTCGAAAGGTGTCGACATGGCCTTCGAAGGCCCTTGCATCCTTACCGCGCGTCCTTCTTAGACGGGTTGGCTGTACCGACCGCCTGGGGAGACGATGTGCTCGGACCCCAGGGGGCGGCGGATGTGGAAATCAGATCAGGGCCTTAGGAGGCTCGAACATGCCTAAGTCCACCGCCTGCCGAGGTATCTAAAGATGTATCCCCCTGGTGGTGGTTGTGGATGCATCCCCACCTCGCAACGGCGGAGCCGCCAGCGGGGCGACCGTCTCCCTGGAGATGCTGCTGCCGGGCCCGCCCGAGTCGTGGGGCGCGCAGTCGGCAGGCTGTTGGAGGGCGGCCAAGCGGGGAATACGATTACGGAATTTGGGGGCGTATGGATATCATGGCTCAGGGGCAACGCTGGGAAGGGCACAGGCTCAGCCGGGAATGTATCCACCCCCGATCGCCCAGTCATCGCCGATCGGGGCCCAGGAGCCCCGCCTCGCCCAGGGGCATTTCGCCGATCTTTCGGCGACACGTCGCCGATTCGCGCCTGATGTTTCCCCCCACCGCCACCCCCCACCTCTGAGCTGGTCCCCTCCTATCATTATTTAATCGCTTCGCTCATTCCGCCGGCCCATACAGTCTCATGTCTGCCGTTTGCCCGAGGGCCTGGTGTCAATGCGGCGCTTTGGGGGTTCCTGGGGCCGCTTGGGGGACTCCTGGGGCGCTCGGGGGGGCATTTGGGGGGCCTCCTGGGGCCGCTTGGGGGACTCTTGGGGGCCTCCTGAGGGCCCCGTGGGGGCCTCTTGGGGCCTCTTAGGGGCCTCGTAGGGGCTTCTTAGGGCCGAGGGCTCGAAATGTTGTTTCGTGTTCCCTCTCTGGGGCCCCTTTGGGGGCGTTCTTGGGGCCCTCTTGGACCGTTTTGGAGGCTTCTTGGGCCGTCTTCGAGCCCTCTTGGGCCATCTTGGGGCCCTCTTGGGTGCCTCTTGGGCCCTCTTGGGGCGATCTTGGGGGCCTCTTGGGCCGTCTTGGGGCGTCGGGAAGCCGAAAAGGTGGAAGCTCCAAAATCTCTCAAAAACCTATGGAAAAACAATGATTTTTGCCTCCGGGGGCCCTATTGGGAGTGCTCTTGGAGGCCTCTTGGGGCGTCTGGGGGCTATCTTGGGCGTCTTGGAGCGATCTTGTGGCATGTCGGACCCCTCGTGTACCATCTTGGGGGCCTCTTGGGGGCCTCTTGGCCTTTCTTGGGGCTCTCGGGGACGTCTCGGAGCCCTGTTGGTGCGCTCATGGAGCGCTCGGGGGGACCTGGCCGGGACCTGGTCGGGGTACTTTTCGTCCGGGGACCCCCAGGGGCCGCCCCGCGCGCGCGAACTAGAAAATTGTTAACCAGTTACCGGAGATCTTAGCACGCCTCTGGCCCGTTGGGCCGGCGAATTCATCAATTGACGGGGCCGTGATTATCCTTGGATTTCAAGCCCACCCTCTTCTTGTTTGGGCACCCAACCATCAATCCGTGGCCTTGGAGCTCCAGCCCCCTTTACCGTCCCAGATTCATTCTTGGTGGCCCCAGGGCGCAAGAACGGGCCCTGGTGCCCGAGATAGAGGACATTCACCGGGATTGCAGACATCATATCGTGGGAGGCCCGTGCTCGTCCCCCGGTCCACCCTCTGGTCTGGCATGTCTTCCTACAGGTGGATTTTGGAAGGAGAATACATGACAAAGTAGTCGAACCATACCCCCAAGTAGTCAAACATAGCCCCCCCCCACACACACACACACACACACACACACACACACACACACACACACACACACACACACACACACACACACACACACACACACACACACACACACACACACACACACACACACACACACACACACACACACACAAAAGAAAAATCGCATCCAGACTGTGTTTTTGACTATGTTTGAACGTCCCTCCTGTAGAGGGCCATGCCCGACGTGAGGGCCACCCCTCGTCCGCGCACGTGCCTCGGGCCATTCCCTGCGGGCTCTCGTCTCGGGCGCGCTGGGCAGGCGAGGCCTGCGCCGCCGCGGTCTTGGCGCACCTGCAGGCGCGGGGGATGTCGGAGGTGCGGGCGAAGATGGCGGCCCGGGGGAGGCCAAGCGCACGAGCGCACCCCACAGATCTCCGAGGATCTGGTCTCGATTCGCTCTTGGCGCTTTCCCTCGATTTCGCATGGATCCAGGATGATGACAAACTGGCCCCACGGAAGGGGTCGGGACCTAAGGGGCCGCGGGTTGATAAAATCACGTCGGAGGATGCCTGGGCCTCTCGGACCTCCTCGCGCCGTCCGAGGACCCCTGAGATCCGAGCGTTACGATTTTTTTACACCTGGCGTTTTCACCCGTGTAGCGGCCCCATGATCCTCATGGATAGAGCCGGTTCGAAAATTGTTTTGGTTATTTGTTTCGCGATGTTTCACCGTTTCGCACTGTCGGATCTCAGGGCACTGCTCTAGGCCTCCTAGATGGGGTCCGAGTAGATGGGGTCGGAGGATCGCGCCGCATCGCCGATGCATCGGCGATGTGGCTCGATGTGCGGCCCTCTTATCTTCACGCCGATGGCGCCGATGCATCGCCGACGTCGCAAGCCCATCGCCGGTGCATCGGCGATGCATCGCCGATGTATCGGCGATGCGGCAAAATCCTCCGACCCCATCTACTCGGACCCCATCTGGGAGGCCTCTAACCGCAAGCATGGCATTATCAGGCGCTCGGAGTGGCGACGGGTCCCGTTTCGGTGCAGGATCGGCGCGCTCCGCCGCCGGGGCGGCAGCGGCCTCGTGTCTCCCGGGGGCAGTTACTCCTTCCCCGACCCGTGGATCTGGAGCCCACGCGCCAGATCCTCGGAGGTGGACAGAACCCCCACCTTCACATGTCGATTAGTGAATTATTCGTTTTCGATTCTCGAGAGGGCGCCGCGGCCGTCATTTTCCAGGCTTGCGCTCGCCAGGTGTGGGCCCGAGGTCGTTTTCACTACACCACGTTTTACTAAAGGGGGTTCTGTCCATCCCTGAGATCCACGGATCCGTGAGCCACGCTGGCGTGCGCCTATGCCGTGGGTGTGATCACGGCGGGAGGGTTTTGGCAGCTGTCTCGGCGACTGAGGGCTTGTCTTGCCGGCCCCCGGGGCGGCTCGGAGTGGAGAAAGCACCACCCACCAAACCAGCCCAATCCAACCCGAAGGCTCCAATTTGCCCTCCATTCCCAGTGTGGGGGTGTGGCGTCGGGGAACACAGAAAAAAAACACGTGGAACCCGCACCCCCCTAACCCGAAATTTGGGCCTTCGGGTTGAGTCACTGTCCATCAACACTGCCGCATTATTTAATCGCTTCGCTCATTCCGCCGGCCCATAGAGTCTCATGTCTGCCGTTTGCCCGAGGGCCTGGTGTCAATGCGGCGCTTTGGGGGTTCTTTTGCCAGGCGTCTCGGGAACCTCATGGAGGCAGTGTTGAAGCCTCTTGAGGCCCCGTAAGGGCCGTTTGCAGGTCGTTGGGGCTTCTTGTTGGGCTTCTTGGGTGGTTCTTGGGGCGTCTTGGGGGACTTATTGGCGGGATGTTGGTGGCTTCTGAGGTGCTCCTAGGGGCAGAATCCCCCTTTGGGCGCCTCTTGGGCGGTCTTGGTGCTCTCTTGTGCCGTCTTGGGGTTATCTTGGGCCGTCTTGGGCCGATTTTAGCGGATTGTTGGGCTGTCTCGGGGCGATGTTGGGGGCTATTTGCGTAGTCTGAGGCGCTGTGAAACTCGAAACGCCGTTCATGCGGGAAGTGTACATGTTCCTCTGGGAATGGGACGATTTTTGATTGTAATGGCCGTCTTGGAGGGCCTCTTGAGGCTCTCTTGGGGCTTCTTGGCGGCCTCGACGGCAATTTTGAGGTCATCTTGGGCGATTTGGAACGATTGTTCGGCGACTTGAGGCCGCTTGGATTGTTTCGGGGGCGTTCCGGTGCCGTTTTGGCGCGCTCCTGGAGCGTTCTGGGGGCATGAGCCGAACGTCGCGCTCTGGGCGGCGTGCGGAAGCCATTGTGTGAGAGGGCGCGGTGGTGAGAAGAACAGCTCACCCCACCCGGCTTTCCGGGCTTTCCGGCGTAAGGAGGGCTTCTTCGCGGCACTTGTGAACGCTCCTGGACAGTGCTTTTTGGGCAGGTTCTTGACGCTTGTTGCAAGTCTGTAGGGGCCCCGTTGGGAGTCTACCGAAAGGAGAGCACATTGTAGCATCGCTTGCACTTGCTTGCGTGCTCGGGGGGGCATTTGGGGGGCCTCCTGGGGCCGCTTGGGGGACTCTTGGGGGCCTCCTGAGGGCCTCGTGGGGGCCTCTTGGGGCCTCTTAGGGGCCTCTTGGGGCCTCGTGGGGGCTTCTTAGGGCCGAGGGCTCGAAATGTTGTTTCGTGTTCCCTCTCTGGGGCCCCTTTGGGGGCGTTCTTGGGGCCCTTTTGGACCGTCTTGGAGGCTTCTTGGGCCGTCTTCGAGCCCTCTTGGGCCATCTTGGGGCCCTCTTGGGGGCCTCTTGGGCCCTCTTGGGGCGATCTTGGGGGCCTCTTGGGCCGTCTTGGGGCGTCGGGAAGCCGAAAAGGTGGAAGCTCCAAAATCTTTCAAAAACCTAAGGAAAAGCAATGAATTTTGCCTCCTGGGGCCCTCTTGGGAGTGCTCTTGGAGGCCTCTTGGGGCGTCTGGGGGCTATCTTGGGCGTCTTGGAGCGATCTTGTGGCATGTCGGACCCCTCGTGTACCATCTTGGGGGCCTCTTGGGGGCCTCTTGGCCTTTCTTGGGGCTCTCGGGGACGTCTCGGAGCCCTGTTGGTGCGCTCATGGAGCGCTCTGGTGGAGTCGCCCGGGGATCAGCCGGGACTTCGCCCGGGGTACTTTTCGTCCGGGGACCCCCAGGGGCCGCCCCGCGCGCGCGAACTAGAGAATTGTTAACCAGTTACCGGAGATCTTAGCACGCCTCTGGCCCGTTGGGCCGGCGAATTTCATAGTTGATTGCCTGCTTTTGTTGCCCCTGCCAGTTTCCCCATTTATCCTCCCCCTCCCCCTCCTGAGGGCCACTATGAGGGTGTGTTCAAGCATGTGGGACACTATGAGGATGTGCTGTTTCACTTCAGTGCTACTGATGCCGATGTGCCGCCACGGCACGGCTTTTCCAGGAGTTCCAGGTTGGGTTGGGGTGGTCTGGCAAGTAGTCAGGAAGGCGAGCCATCTTGGAAGAGGCCCCCAGACTTCTGGGTGACTTTCGCCGCGAAAGAGCCACGATTGCCGCTGGGGCCTGGTCCTGCGCAGACGCGTCTACCCTGGATGGGGGGGTCCCTCGGGGATCGTTGCCTGGGGCGCCGCCCGAGGGATGGTCCAGCCCCATGGTCGGCGGCGAGCGAGGGGGGAGAGATGAGGAGCAGAACGCCTTCTTGGACGGTGGGGGGACTTCTCAGAAGCCCCTGCGCCTTCTGAGAAGTTTTCTGCAACTTCGGGGAAGGCTGAGAGAACATCTTAGAAGGCCAGGTGACTTCCGAGCCTTCTAAGCTTAGCAGGACCGCCCCTTCTCAGTTCCCCCCCCGGCTCGCCGCCGACACGGCGCGGACGGCACAGGGGGGGTGGCAATGAACGTGGGGGAATCGAGGGTTGCAAGAGAGTAGCCCCAAAGCGGCCCTAGCTGGCCCCTGCATCGCCTCCGCTGGCCCAAAAGGCGCACGAACGAAAGACACGCGTGTCTCCCCCCCGTTCATTGTCCTCGCCATCAAAGAACACCCGAGTCCAGTCACACGCCGTGGCCGCAGCCGTGGCCCCTGCGGACCTACTCCTGACCTGTCCTGACCTCTTCAAAACCAGGCCCCCCGAAAGTCCCGTCCCTCTCAGTCGGGGGTGGACTTTCGTCTTGGGAGTAGTTTTCTGGCGGCCTGAGGGCCCAGAGCCCCTAAAGGCGAAAGCGCGGAAGAAGTTCCACATTTGTTTCAACACGTTGGGGGGGTCTGGCTTGTATCGGGCCGACAGTCGAGCCTCCAGCGGCAGTTAGCGACGACTCGGGTCCCTCCGAACGTTCGCGGCAAGGCGCAGCTGCTGGTAGGCATCTCGGGGCGAGAAAACCTTCAGCGGCGAACAGTTCTTCGGGGGCGCCCGAGGGGTGAGGACGAGCGGTGCGTGGATCTCATGGCCAGGGCCATGATATCTCCCCGGACCTCAGTGCCGCATCTGCTTCTTGTATCTCGTCCCCTGGCCCCGTCCCCCTTGGCCGTGCGCGTGCCTCGGGCTGTGATCCGCGACCCCCCCCCCGTCTTGGGCGCCCCCGAAGTCTGCGAATTCTGCTCTTGAGCACGCGGGGGCCCTCCCGAGGCGGAGCGGACGCGCGACCTCCGGCGCCGCGCTGCGGGCGCCGCGGGCGCTGCGGCGGACGAGGGCGGCAACGCAAGCCGAAGGAGAGACACGGAACGAGCATGAAGTTTAGGAGGTTCGCGCGGACTTCTTGGATCGGCAGGGGCACCGTTGGTCAAGCAGTGGCGAAGCGTCGCGCCTCTGCTATAGGCTTACCAAGGAATGTTCTAAGAATTTGCTGTGGTTTCCACGAAATGTTCTTAGAACGTTGTTGGCTGAGTCTGTCTTGTTTTAACACATCGGGTTTATGTTCTAAGAACATTGCTTTTGTTTTTAGAGAATGTTGGGGTTCTAAGAAATTGTGTGGTAGGCCTATAGGAGTGCGGGGACGCTCGGTCCCTGCTCAAGTTGGGGGGGGGGGGATGGGCTTCGGTAGCAAATGTTGGGAGCCTTGTATGTCTTCGGATTTCCGTTTTGAGTTTGAATTCGAGTTCGCTAGCGTTTGGTAATCGATGCGAAGCGCAGAATGTGCGCCGATTGGCGTCGAATTATCGTCGACTGGTGTCGATTGCGTCGGTTAGCGTCGATATCGCAAGGGCCAAGACGATGACATGGGAGGCTCCCATGAGTTGCCAAGTAAGTAGGCTCAGGGGGGGATTCGTCGACCCCCCTATCGGCTAATCATCGCTGATAGGGGGGCGGTTTCGCTATTGAGGGCCTATCGCCAGTATATGAGCGATGTATATTGAATTCAAACTCGATACTTCGCACACTCAGCTCCCCTTCACCCCCTGTCGATGCCCTTCATTGGATCGGCATCGACTTTCGGAGGTCCGCGCGGACTTCTTGGACCAGCGGTGGCCAGATGACTTAATGATAACGATACGCTCCAGCATTACCTGGATCCCGTAGATTTCCTGTTTTTTGAACGGGCTCAAGAATCGAGGGCCGCCAGATACTCCAGAACTCCTGGAACGTATCCTGAACGAAACTAGTATCGACCAGTTGGAGCCCTCCCGGCGGCGCTTCGAGCTCCGCCGCTGGCGCGCTCCGCGCGCCGCGAACCTTCATCAGCACGCCCGACATGAGTACGGAGCAAGTGGGTACGATGCCCTGCAGCACATGTTGTCCAATACAGACAGCTGCTGCTGTTGACTGTTGGACAGGCGACCTTTCATCTCGGATTGACAACGCTCGCGGCGACACCGCCAGCGAGTCCTTGTCAAATTGAGCAGGGCCTGTTGTCGGTCTCCGTGCCCCTTCCTTCATTCCTCCCGTATATCGAAGACGCTTACGGCGAATCGCTGCCGCCCCCTGCCTTTTTGGAAGCGCCTATGTGGCCGAACGTTGAGGCCATCCCTGCCAAGCTATCGGACCAGGTGTTCCCCGAATCGGTTTGGAAAGCCTTCGGGGAACACGTGGACATCTTGAAGGTCATCTTGGCCATCTGGAGGGCATTTAGACCCTTTTGGGCCTTGGTGGAGGACGTCTTGGAGGGCTCTGGGGTCGTCTTGGAGGCCATCTTGAGCGTCTTGAAGACCTCTTGGGCCGTCTTGGGGGCCTCTTGGGGCCGTGTCTTGGGCCTCTTGGGCGATCTTTGGGGACACTTGGGCCGTCTCGGGCCGTCGGAATGCAAACAAAAGCAAATGCCACAATCCTTCAACAACTCATTGGAAATCAATGATGTTGGTCTTTTCGGGCCGTCCTGGAGGCCCTCTTGGAGGCCTCTTGGGCCGTCTTGGGCCATCTTAGGGCCATGTTCGGCCGTCTTGGTGGGCTCCTGGTCCGTCTGACGCCGTCGGAAGCTGTTTGGGGGGCCTCTACGGGCCGATTTGGGGCCCTCTTGGAATGCTCCAGGGCCGTCTTGGGGGTCATCTTGGGCGTCTTAAAGGCCTCCTGTGCCGTTTTGGGGGCCTTGTGGGGCTGCCTTGGGGCCCTCTTGGGCCGTTCTGGGGCCATCTTGGAGGCCTCTTCGGCGATCTTTCGGCGATCTTTGGGGGCTCTTGGGCCGTCTCGGGCCGTCGGAAGGCCGAAAAGAAGCAAATGCCAAAGTCAGTCAAAAATCTTAGGACAATCAATGCTTTCGGCCTCTTCTGGCCTTCCTGGAGGCCCTCTTGGGGGCCTCTTGGGCCAGCTTCGAGCCAACTTCGGCCATCTTGGTGGGTTCGTGGCACGTCTGACGCCGTCGGGAGCCGTCTTGGGAGCCTTTCTGGGCCGACTTGGGGCCCTCTTGGGGCGCTTCGGGGCCGTTTTGGGGGCCATATTGGATGTCTTGGGGGCCATCTTGGGCGAGTTGGAGGCCTCTTGGGCGGTCTTGGGGCCCTCTTGGGGCCGTCTTGGAGGCCACTTGGGCCGTCATGGGGCCCTCTTGGGGGCCTCTTGGGGCGATCTTGGGAGCCTCTTGGGCCGTCTTGGGCCGTCGGAAAGCTGAAAAAGCGCAAATGCCAAAATCCTTCAAACACCTTACGACAGTAAATGATTGCGGCCCTTTCGGGCCTTCCTGGAGGACGTCTTAGAGAGCTCTTGGGCCGTCTTGGAGGCCTCTTGCGGGCCTTTTGGGCTGTCGTAGACCATCTTGAGGCCATCTTGGGCCGTCTTGGGTGCATCTTGGAGCCATCTTAAACGTCTTCGAAGCCATCTTGGCTGTCTTGGGGGTATCTTGGAGGCCATCCTGGGCCATCTTGGCCGTCTTGGAGGCCAACTTTGGGCAACAAAGGCATTGACGGACGGATTTTCGACAATCTCCCCGGGACTCCGGCGGGACGGGCCGAAGCCCCAGGGTGAGTTCTTTTGGAATTACTCCGACGGAAGGACCCCGCATGAGAATCCTCTGGGCGAATCTGGGAAAAGCCCTCACCGTCGTCCTCGTGGTTGGTGAGGCGTCCTGGCTGTCTCTTCTGCGTATATGTCTTCTCGCCCTGGCGCGGGCCCTCCCTCCGCTCCCTACGTTGCCCCCGAGTCGCCCTCCTGTTTTTTCCGCGCCCCGCCACCTCCTCGCCTTTCCATTGCATGAGCGCGCATGTCGGTTTTCCTCGGCGCCGTCGCCGCCTCGGCCAGCACAGGCGCGTTCTCTAATGGCCACGTCGCGCAGCCGTTGGGACTACTCCGCGGGCCAGGCTGTCGGGACAACCCCGCGAGGCGCTTGTGCGCAAGGCCAAGCCGTTGGGACAATCCCGCGGGCTTCGAGCGGGGCGCAGCCGCGTTCAGGCGGGCAGCACGAAACCCAGCTCTGCCGCGAGCTGCTTCGCCTCCGCCCTGGACAAAACCGCTCTCTTGTCGAACTCCAGGAGCGCCTTCCGCAGGGACGTCGGCGGCCTTCGCTCCAGGAACTCCCGCGGCGGCGGCCGCAGGATCAGCATGCTCCGCATGCACGTGGCGCGGGAGAGCACGACGTAGAGGTGCAGCCACCACTGCTCGTCCGACATGCCCGTGCGGCCAGCGTCCTCGTCTCTCGCGCAGTCGATGGTGACGCCCTTGCGCAGCGTCTGGCCCGCGACAGCGTGGAGGTCAGGTAGGACGCGTGCGTCAGGGTGAACCCCGAACGGCGCACGCTGTGCGCCCCCGAGCTCTGCCATGTGAGCTCCCTTTCGCTGGGCCTGAACATCAGCAAGCTCCGCGCCCGCGCCTGGGCCTGGCCGTCGTCGTCGGCGTCTTCGGCGCCCTGTCGCAGCATCTCGGCGACCTCCTTGTAGATCGGAGACTCCTTGACGCCGTGCACCTGCAGCCAGATCCCCTGCGGTAGGAAGCGAGGGCGAAAGAGCTGGCCTGCCGAGCACTCCTCGCGCCGCTGCTCGTCCTCGTGGTGGAAGTCGAAAGACACGATGGTGGCCCGTTGCTCCTGCACGAGCCCCAACTTCTTCTTCAGCTCTTCCTGCGCTGCCGTGAACCGCACCTCCATGCCGACGTGGGCCGGCAAGACGCCTCCGTCTTGCGCATGTTCGGGACGTTCAGGAGGTGCCGACCCGCGTCGGGATCGCCCTGAATCGCGCCGCATTCGTCAACGGCCTGCAGGAAAATGAGGGGCACGCCCACACGCCGAGCGTCGCGACGAGCACGCGTGTTCATTCACCTCGCAAGCGCTTCCCAGTAGATGCCCATGCCGTAGCCGAGCCGAAAGTTCTCGTGCTGGCGCCGAGGGTCCAGGACGCCGCGGCTGTCCGTGGCCAGTGTCTTCTCCCAGGCGGACCAGACCTCCAGTGGGAAGTGCTTGCCTTCGCGCGTGCAGCCCAGGAGCGTGATCAGCGGGTCCCCAGGCTCGAAGCGCCTCGTGCTTTTCAGCTCGGAGACGCAGGCGGTCTGAGAGAAGACCTTGAAGGCGCGCTGGATCTCCACCGTCGGCGGGTCCGCGTACCTGTAATTGCGACTCGTCGTCGTCCAGGCGCTCGTTCACGTCCGTCAGGAGGCCAATGCTGCCGGTGGACTTCAGCTGCAGGAAATCGCCGAGGTGCAACACGATGGGCACGCGCCCGAAGTGGTGGTGTGGCCGCTGGTAATTCGACTCCTGCACGTCGTGCGTGTCGCTGCGTCCGTGGCAGGCGCGAAGGTCCAGCGTTTTGTACAGCGCGGCTGCCACCATGCTTATATTTTCGATGGCAAGAACGCGGACGTTCTTCTGCATGCGAAAGCGGCCTGGACGCCTCACCCCAGGGCGTGTCGGTACCCAGATTTGCGAAGATGTCTGAAACGAAAGTGCATGGGCCACCGTGGGGCAGGGCACCTCCGAGTTCAGAGTTTCGAGGATGTCTCGGATCAGGTCAGGGCGTATCGGAACCCAGAGTTGTGAGGACGTCATCGTCGTCATCGTTATCGTCATCAGCGTCGTCGTCATGCTTGTAGTCATCGTCATTGTTCTCACAGGGCATATCGGAACCCAAAGTTGCGAGGATGTCTAAAGTGAAAGTGGCCTGAACACCTGAGCTCAAGGCATCTCGCAACCCAGAGTTGCCAAGATGTCTCGGGCGAAAGTGCCCGGACACCATGGGGTAGGGCACCTCCGAGGTCAGAGTTCGAATATGTTTTAGGCGGGAGCGGCCAGACCACTAAGTGGCAGGGCGTATCTGAGGTCAACGTTGCGAGGATGTCTCAGGCGGCAGTGGC